CTCTCTTTTTTCACCCCTTTATATGTATCTCTCTCTCTCTCTCTCTCTCTCTCTCTTTTTCATTATTTCGCTCTCTCTCTCTCTCTCTCTCTCTCTCTCTCTCTATCTCTTTTTAAAACCGATGCGACCAAATGAATTCCTTTCTCTATCAGTTTAATTATGTCCTGGGTGTCATTCTCCTCCAAGTGACGTACACTTCAGTACTAATTGCCATCCTGCGGCTGCCACCAACCGCATTCTTACATGCCTGCATTCGACATGGCAGACAGCGGAAAATTAAATAGCCGCAAGTGTTCCTCGCCCGACTCGGGGCAATAGCTTGCGACTCAGTCAAACCCGACACACACCATCATGGTTGAAATCATTGGAAAAACAAAAGGATGAAGTACCTGCTCTTTGATTTGGACTGGGCTGGGCTTCATTCACAGCTCATTCAATCACTTACATCTTGCTTTCGAAGTATATTTGACATTGCCATAGGCAAAGGTTAATCAAATTTAGTTCATTGTCATAGTCGAAAATGAAATTCTCTCTTGTCTTCGAGTGGAGGGGTATCGGCGCATCTTTCCTCCTTATGTCTTCCCTCACTGTAATTGGTTTTTGGCTGTAACACCTTGATGTCATATTGTAGAAAAGAGGACATTTGTGATGGTGAAAGTTAAGTTTTAGTTTATATGACCCACGTATGGAGCGAAACATGAAGCCATTAATATTTGTTTAAAGACTTTTTTTGTCCACATAATCGCAAAATGTATCTCCATTTCTACGTTATTTATGTTCGCACTCCCCCCTCCCACTCTCTCTCTCTCTCTCTCTCTCTGGGTCTCTCTCTCTGTGAATCTCTCTCTCTTGTATTGATTCCTCTCTGCCCACTTTAAATTTTCTTCCATAAATCTACAACATCTTCCTCTTACCAATCTTAATTTTCTACCCCCTCGTTTTTAAACCACTTTCCCTGTCCAGATTTCTATAGTCAATTTTGTTCCACTTGCGTTCATCTTAACGTGAACGTCCTTGATATACTTGTTATTGTGTTTGTTTTCTCTACTCTATGTAGTAATATTACCTCATTTTTCTTCTCGTTGAAAGTAAAAGTCAATTCTGCTTCAAGAAAATATCGCACGCAAGACGAATGATATAATATCATCATGATAATAAAATAAACGAGCAGTCTATTGTCAATGGCCCACGCAGAATATATAACATGAATTCAAAGATGAGTAGAAAAATGCCTGAAAATAATCGGTAAAGAAAGTCATGGTAAAGTATAATCATCCAGCGCTGAAATGAAGAAATTATGCTTTGAACATAAAATGCGATGTTTAATTTTGAATGGAACGTGAAATAAACGTGACACGAACTGCATCGAGTTCTACATACGTCAATCAAGACAACTAAAATGATGAGAATACGAGAGACGTTTTCTATATTAAACATGATGTTATAACTATGCATTAAGTTCTCACCACTTCGGTAGTGGAAATAGATCATTATTAAGAGCGAGAGATCTTGAGCTGTCTAGAGAGAAGAAAAAAAAGTAAAAATTAAAAAAAAGCCCACTTGCATCGAAATCATTTTTTTCCTCGCTTGTCAGACGGGCTCCGTTCGCCTACTTTAGATGTAGATCAAGTGTGAGACTAAGAAGTCATGGAAGTCAAAAATTCATGCATTTTGTAGTACTGTCATGAGTTTTTCATTCGCTCCTCTGGCATTTTTCACCATTACTAAAAGTTATTTTGAATTTATGTTCTCATGTTGTGGCCCAATGCGCTGTAAATAATTTAGTTTTGAATGTGAGACAAGTTTTGTTAATTGATTGCGTACTTGATTCTAGGATGAATGTATAGTAAGCTTTAAAAAAAAATGTTGTATTATTCATTAACGTACCGAAACAGCGTTATTGCACTCTCACTATCTATGAATTGAACTAAAGCCATATTGATTAAAATAGGGGCTCTTTCTCTTTCTCTCAGCCATGCAGACGTCATGGAAGTGATGCCCCAATCATTAGAACGAACATGATATCACATCCGCCTTGTGTTTGGGTATTGAGTTTAATGTCACGATTAAGTCCTTAAACAGGTTTAAAATTTTGTAGGTTTCTCTTTACTGGGGATTATTTCGTGTTTGTGTTTTGCTCGTTTGTTTTTTTGTTATTTTTCAAAAATACACAGAAAGCACACATAAATAGAAGTTCACTTTTTAAACGAAGCAGCTGAAATTCTAACTACCCTCCACCGCCTCGGCCGAGCAAATGAAATCATCTTAGCTAATCAGAAACCTTCAAATCCTGCCCTATATATTTACAGTTACTTTTTAACCACAACACAGAATGAGGTTAAGTTATCTTTATCAATCCGCCATTATGGCTAAGCACTATGATTCAGGGGGTTAGGAAACCAGAAGCAGCAATTAGACCAAATGACCATCATTATATTTAAGTCAATACGACATGACCTTTTTGGAAGAAGGGCATGTTTCCGTTAAGGTAACAATGTCAGGTTGTTTGTAGCTATATTGGGGCAACAATAAATAAGAGATAGTCCACTCCGCCGGCGACTAACAATTTGTAAACACAATTTATTCCGACTCTCTTGGAGAGAAAAATAAATATATCATCAATATTGCATCCATTTGGTGTTCGTAAAATTGTATGTGTTCTAGTTCATATTCTCTTAGCGATATTGTTCAACTTTTTTATGAATAACATATTCAGCATTCAAGCTTGTACAGTAATTTATTTCGCACTACTTGAAACAGATGGGTAGGCAAGATGTTTTAATATCGTATTTTATTGTTAAAAGATTCACTGTTTTTTCTTTGTTTTATGTTATTTTGTTAACACTCGGTCTGTTTGGTAGTCACAAAAAGATTGAAATATTTGCAGCTGTCACGTTTCTTAATAGACTGAAGAAAAAGAGTGTTGGTTCCTATTTGTCTTTCTTAAATTCTTTGTTTGTGGCTTCCTTCCAGTGTCTAACCGTTTCGGTTTGCCTTCTCTCTCTCTCTCTCTCTCTCTCTCTTTCTGACTCTTCAATTTCCTCTCTCTCATCCTCCTTTCCTCACCTATTTTCCACTCTATCTCTCGAAATATTGATAACTGCAAACGTGGAAAACGATTAATTATTCAGAGTTTTTCATTTTTTTATTTCCCGGAGGGCTGTTGTTAAAGACTAGGGAAATCATTTTTTACACATTTGAATATGACGCCTTCAGTTTCATCCTTGTCGGTATAATTCACCTTTTCTCCACCTAGCCTTTCAGTAATTTGGAACGACACCCCTCCCCCCCCCCCCCCACCTATCATACCGGTCCTCCGCAACCCTTATAGGTCACTGCACTCTAAAAAAAAAAAGATACCCAATATTGGGTAAAATTTTACACTTTACGAGGGTAAAAAGGGAACATGCATGTTTGTTGGGTAAAATTTGACACAGGGGTGTTTACCCAACGCGTGGTTCAAATATTAATCTGCATCGTTACTTTCTTACCCCGGAAATGCGCACACTCGAATTTTGATATGACACTATGGCAAGTGTAATCAGTGGCGGATCCAGGGGGGTGGGGGCGGGGGGCCCAGGCCCCCCCTCCCTCCCCTTGAGAAAAAAAATCATGTAAAATCACGTGATTTTTACCTTTTGGGGGGTTAGCCCCCCCCCCCCTGACGCTCAAGGGGGGGGGGGGTGCAAATTTTAAAATTTTGGAGGATGTGCTCACTTCACCCCCCCCCCCCCCCCCCCACTGAGCGACTTTTCGGCCGACGCGATTTTCAAAAAAAAAAGTTGGGCCCCCCCCCCCCCCCTTAGAAATCCTGGATCCGCGCCTGAGTGTTATTAAATTTCGAAGGGACTTGGTGTTTGGCACAAGGTTGGGTAATATTTTACCCAACTTTTTTAACAGCGATTTTGCACAGCTAAATTTTGCACTCTATTTCTCGAGTGTGTAGGTTTCATATGTTAGTTATGTGGATTTGTGTGTTCCAGCGAAAGTTTGTGTGAATTTCAGTTTATATCTATGTAGGTTTGCTGTCTTTTCCCAATCGAGTTTTTAAACTTGTTTGTCTGAAATACTCTCTTGTCCACAACATTGGAATAATTTTCGTCTTACCTCTCTTCATGAGGTGATTGTGGCAATATGATTCATTCTTAAAAAGTTTATATCCCTTCAAAAAAATGTTTGTTGGTCGATCTAAAGAGTTATAGCTTCCATAGATCAATGATGATCTGAGAAGATGTTAACATTATTTATTATCAATAATTTATGCGCGACACTGTAAATAACAACAAAATGTGTATCTGGCTATTGTTTCACATGATGGAATATGAAGGTACGTTGCTCGATGATTATCCGTAATTCATCAGGAATACATGTTTGAGAGAAACAAACGGTCCCTGAAATTTTCTTTTTTTACGAAAAAGGACATCATGTTGCCCTCTTCCAAAAGAGAGGAATCGTAATTAAAATATGCGCCCGATAAGGAAAGGACACTCGAGAAGCTCTGAAAGGATACAATTGTGGCTTCTGTACTTAAAATGCCAAACGTTGACACTTTCTATACGAACAAATAGTTCAAGCACTTATCTTCGTAAGTCAGAGTGACATGTTTATACATTGTGATGTAAATGGCAACCCAAAAAGGTTGGGGCACATATTACCACCCTAAAATCATTCAACTCATCCCTAAACTCCTTCCTCTATCTTTAGCTAGAAGACTACAAACGCATCACGTCAAGTGTGATAGGTGTACATGTCTTCTTAAAGTAAACGTAAGCGATCATCTTTAAAAGTCATGGCATGAGAAACGCACTGTATGGCGCCATTATCACCGATCAAAAGTGAATATCCTTTTTATCTTGAAAAGGATCACTACTTCTCGATACGGGAAGTGGAAATTCAACACCGTTCGGTAACCTTTTTTGTGTTTGTTTTGTTTTCTCCCTACTTCTTCTCAATTTTAACCCTATCGCGTTCTAATTCCATTTTGTTCTCTATCCAGGCCAACGTCGATACAAGAGACTGATATAATGGGCGCATTAATGCATCTAGGGTTCTCTGGAAAGTGCAATCGCAAAGCTGTTGAGTGGAAATAATGACCCACAAAGATCGCCGATCGACAGGATACAACTGAAGGATAAAGAACGTGATATCAAATTCGGCAGCTATATTGGATGAGCGGGGAAAAGGAGGTCCGATCGCTGCTGTGAGTTGAAGTATTATCGGTTTGTCAAGATGACGTATGTTCCCGACAACGAGACAACTGATATTTCGGTGACCCTTACGTCGCCATTCCCGCGAGAGCAGGCAGATTGGTACTTCAAAGAGCCCCCCTGGTTGCAGGTTCTCATGATCGTGACCTATGCAACGGTTAGCATCCTGGGAGTTGGAGGAAATGCTGTCGTCTGCTACATCGTACTCGGACATGCGCGCATGCGCACAGTGACGAACTACTTCATTGTCAACTTAGCACTGGCGGATATCCTCATGGCAGTCATGTGCGTGAATCTGACTCTCTACGCCACGCTCTACATGAGATGGCCGTTCGGCGTTGTCATGTGTAAAATTACATATTTTGTACAGAGTCTGTCGGTGTCCGTGAGCATTTTTACTTTGATTGCGATCAGCCTGGATCGATACGTCGCCATCATGTACCCTTTACGCCCCCGCATGACGGCGAAACAGACGATATTGATCGCGATATGCATTTGGATATTTGCGGGCGCGTACGCCATGCCGATGCTGATCTACGCGCATGTGGCTTCGGACGAATCCGCTTCATTTTGTACGGACTCTGATTGGCGGTTTACCAAGCATTATTCGTGGGTGGGCCTCATTCTTCAGTATATATTACCGTTGAGTGTTTTAGCGATCGTGTATATTCGCCTTGCAAGGAAGATTTGGGGGCGGAGAACACCCGGCGAAGTCCAGGCCAACAGAGACAAGAAGCTGAGTGAATCTAAAACTAAGGTTAACAACTTTTCCTTTTCTCCCTTTTGTAAAAAATAAGAAAGTAAGAAAACAAAAATAAATCCCAAGCATTTTTCGAGAAATTAACTCAAGTTTATTGCCCTACTTTTACAAATACTTTCGTAATAAGTCAATTGAATTTGTAGACAATTCAGCACGTAAGAGCCAAGGCTTTTTAAGTTGCCCTGGGTTGATTTTTCAAATGGCTTTGCGATCGTTCAATACTATGTCGCTCACATACACACACACACACACACACACACACACACACACTTTGTTTGTAATTTTGTTTTATTCCTCCAAATGTAATACAAACAAGAACAACATACAATGAAATAAAATAGATAAACGTTTTCAATATTAATTGCTTATATACATGAACATAATTAAACAAAAACACAAGTGCAGTATACAAACACACACACACACACACACACACACATATGTTGCTCACATATTTACGCAAATGGCATGCCGTATCGTTTGTGTGTTTTCTTGGATAAAAGACCGGCCCATTTAGCAAATTTCACTGGGGACACTTTAACTTCGTTTTGCTCAAATGTTGATTTTATTATTCAATAGTTTGACTTGTTCCTTAGAAATGTTTGAATAAACTCTTTTTTACTACCCGATTAACATTGAAAAATATTTCTCTTTTATTCTCTTGCAGCTGGTTAAGATGTTTGCGACTGTGGTTCTCATCTTCGCCCTCTGTTATCTCCCGATCCACACCCTGAATCTCATTCAAGATATCCATTATTCAATTCTCTATTTTCCTTACATCAAACTAATCTATCTTGCTGGACATCTCATATCCATGTCAAACTGCTTCGTCAACCCCTTCATTTACTGTTGGATGAATAGGAAATTTCGGAACGGGTTTAAGGCGGCTTTTCGCTGCCTCCCCTGTGTGACCTATGACCCCGAGTGGCTTGCGAGCAAAGGTCAGGAGCGAAGGGGAACATCGCACACGCAGCTAGAATCGATGTCCATGAGTTCAAGGAGTGATCGCAAATGTCCACCAGATACGTACCAACGGAACGGCTCGACGAGGAACCATAGAAGGCTTTCCGATTTGATTGCCGCTGCCGAGAGGTCGCAAAATCATTCGAACATTTAAGATCAATATAATGTAACATTCGATTTATTGGAATTGATGACTTGGTATATTGCCGTGTAGCCTGTTGCTAATTACTACATATATTTTATACACAAATGCATTCTATCGCCGAGTGAACTTTCATAGTATAAATTTGACTGACGCCTCTCTGCGATATTTGGGATATACATTTAAAAACAAATGTTTTTATTTATTGATGAGGAACATGGAATTCATTTGGTGAATCTATTAGAAATGTATCAGAGACCTGTATTGGTTGAGGAACATATAACACTCGATAAAGTACCTGTTGTAATGTTCCATCTCATCTGAGTTGTGTGTTCTCGTGTTATATTTCTGGTGTATTTCTTAAAGTGCAAAGTAATAGATCTCAGCATTCAAAGAAATCATTTGATATTTAGAAACTGTGCATTTCTCGCAAAAGAAATAACAATTAACAAATATTATAGTATAAGAATTAGACATGTAAGATCATTTCGATTCGATGCTTTCCTAATCAATCTGAAACACTTGTTATACATTAAGAATTAAGAGACAATTAAAGTTCCTGTATGTCGACATGACTTGTTTTGTACTAGTATTTTACAGCAACGAAAGGTATTTACCGACGCTGCAGCTAAGCAAGTCTGAATATGTTATTTAGTGAAAAGGGTGTTGTCAGAGAGTTTTTATTGGAAAGATATTCCGAAATTTCAAATTCATTTCAATATGATAACCAGGGAAGGTTTCCAACTAAAGCAATTCATAGTTGCATGCCTGTCATTGTCTATTCAATGTTTTTAAAACAAATAATCAATGGTATATTATATCAAAAGGTGAAATAATTGAAATATTATTGCTTGTAGAATAAACTGAGTTATAAGATAAACCCTGTTATTATAATTGTCGTGGGCAGTTTGATACCACATCATTAGAGCATTTTTTTGTAAACCTACAATTAATAAGATGTAGGGCTGCAATGTATATGCAAATTAGTTTGAGATAATTTAAATATTCATGGTGGTATTTTGTAATGTGATTACTGTATCAATAACCAATTAGCATTTTTAACATTCAACCAAAATGTCTTAAAGGGTTTTTTTTAATCGTTTTCTCCATCCTCACATGTTTGTAATACAAGAGTATTTTTTAAGGGAACAAACTAATCATGTTAAGCAAGTTTCCTCCAAACCGTTGTGTTGGATTTTGGCATAATGTTAAAAATAAAAGGATGCCTGTGGACTTACATGGTGACTGACCTGATGACAGTACACGAACCATATAACTACGGACCACTATGACTGGATGCGCAGGCCATATTTATGTACAACTATACAACTATACAACCATCGAACGGATATATAGTTTAAACCAATCAGAACGCGGGAAGCTATAAATGCGTTGACGAGTGCTTCCATGTATGTATAGTGGTATAGTTGCACAGTTGAATGGTTGTATGTTTGTGTAGATTCCTGCGTTCTGATTGGATAAAACTCCTGGATAAAACGTTCTAAAGTTGTGCATAATTATGGCCTGTTAGGCTCGTCATGTAGACTATACAAATACGTACCCGACTGACGTGGAAATGGGACGGTAAACGACTGCTTTGTTACCATGACTTAGAATGTACAGTACTGAATAATGACGACCGCTTTAATACCGAAAGCTATTGGTTATTAAAATAGACTTAAAATGCTCTCTCCTTCTCATTCCTTATGTTACGGCGGACCAACTCAGCCATGGGTAACACACGGATTAAATTATCCATGTTATTCAGAGGGAAGTTTCGATTTAATAACATAATACTAACGAATTCGAAACAAGAACAATGACTTATTAAAAAGGGAACAAATAACTAATAACAATCGAGTAAAACAGTCATTGTTTTGTTGTATAGCAAACGCAAAGACATATTGAAGTATATGCTTGACGTTCCATTCTGGGTTGTATGAAAATGTGGCAACAGTTTCCTGAGAAGAAAAAAAAAATTGATTATTTTGATGAGTCAAAGCCTCATACCATGAATTTCTTTTAAAAATTGAATTTTTGCAATTGGGTCGAGGATTCCCGATTTAGAATCCTAGTTCTAGGAATATATTGATTATGTTTTCGCCTTTCACGGGTAAATGAAAATGGGAATGTTCAAAAGTTAATGAAACCAAAGAATGACTGGAAATATGTCAATTGATTACGTGAAACACCCCGGCCTCCTATATATTATGTAGGAATTTAGTCAGTATACATGAAAGAGGGTTCGCTAACCTTTGATGGAAAGTTGGTCTCTCTCTCTCTCTCTCTCTCTCTCTCTTTCTCTCTATGTCTCTCGCTCACTACATTTACATTGTAAGTCTACATTTAAGGTGACATGACGACTTAAGACGCAATAACGACAAATGAGGACTCTTTGTATATCTCCCTTTTTACGTCTGTCTCTGTCTCACTGGCTTTCTCCCTCTTTATAACAATATATCTCTATGTCTATCTCTCTCCCTCCTCTCCTCTCTCTCTCTCTCTCTCTCTCTCTCTCTCTTCTCTCTCTCTCTCTCTCTCTTTCTCTCGTTTAATCTAAATCTCAATTTAAGGTGTCATAACGACTTCAGACGTAGTTACGACCGAAAAGGACCACTTGTATTTTCCCCTCTTTCCTCGTCCGTCTCTGTTTCTCTCTATATCTATCTCTATGTATGTCTCTCTCCCATCCAGTAAAATCTGCCATTTTTGTTTTCAGCATCTCAGTCTAATAATAATTAGCCAAATGAACACTGACTCTGCTGTCGGCGGGAAGAAATTGGTTCCCCTTTAGCTATCAGATGTATCTTATCAGAACCTTCACTTTGTTGTGCAACTAAACTGGATATTACGTTTATTGATAACAAGTCATCGACCCTACACCAAGACTAAGCTTGATTTAAAATGGTGCATGCGCAGTGATAACCACACGACATATCTCGAAAAAAAAAGAAAATGAGCGAATTGCTTTCTGGATTGACACAAACAACAATAACAACAGGAAAATGCTATGATTCAAAATTGGAATATTTACTTTTATGGATACGAAATCTGTTTTGATTATTTTCTTCTACTTTCTTTCCTCTTCTTCTTTTAACCAACGAATCTAGATTTGACTTGAACGTTTTGCATGTGTATCTCTGAATGATGAAAAAGAGAAACGTGATTAAAATAAAAATGGAGGATTGTATTTTAACTTGATTCTATTTTCGACCCATTTCCGTTAATATTTACACGATAATATTACGACCAGATATTTTTCGGACTTACATACATGGAAGGACGATAACGATGTACTAAACATTGGATTTCTAATATATATATATCTAATATCATTGATAGAACTACGTTTCTTGAAATGGATTAGGGCTTTGGACATTCCCTTATTCGTGATTTAGTTGGAAAAGGAAATTGACTCCCTTTTCTGGCTTTTGAGGACGGCTGATAACGACCGCAAGTAATCCCTGTGACTAATTTCGACAATGGTTTATTCACTATGAGAGCAGTTTTACTCACCTCCCCCACCCCGCCCCTTCTTTTGCAGGAGAGACAAAGCTTGGGTTTGGCTGTCCAGCCCCCCCCCCCCCCCCCTCTCCCGTGTTAATCTAATGATATTGACGACGTTGTACTTGACCTAACCACTACAGCGCCATACACATACAGACAGGACTGTTACTTTAACACCATCATTGATCAATGACAATTCCAAACGAAGAAAGGAAAAGATAAGATTTCATGATATTCAATTCAATTAGGCCTAATTTCAATTCAATTTATTTATTCATCGTCATATACAACTATAGAGTCATAAACATCTAACAAATATTGGTAGAGACAAAGAAACTATGAATTTTGACATGCTAGATTTTGTTTTAACATGGCTGTTAGTAATGTAAATAACTATTTGTAAAAACATTAAAACCGTTCTTTTTTATATTGTAACCTGTAATGTATTTTCTATGATAAGTATATTAGAGGGTTTTGGTTGATAACAAGTAATTGAATTATAGCTTCATAATTGAGTATAATATTATATCATAGTGCAGATTCTTATCGCCTTCTTAGAAATGACGGGTCATATCAATCACATAAAAATTATCAAATTACTGATGTTTGTTACAGAGATAATTAGGATTTGAATTGATATGTTGTTTTTAATATTATCCCTGGTTCGTTTGCGTGTTCTTTCCCAACTTAAATTCATTAACCCCCACCCATCCCCCCCCACCCCCACCACCACCTTCTGTCCCTCAAAGCCCTTGTACAATTGTGGTAATAGCCCCAATACAAGTTTTGTCTTTTGTTTTAAGTCTTGCAAAGTTGTTGCATTTTGGTAATCATAAACATTTCAGTTTTTAAGATACCTGCTCGTGATCAAATTTATCCTCATTATATGTAACTCCGGCCATATATCCGCAGTGTAGATTGTAATAAAATAAACCAAAACAGATACATTTCTCAATCCGGGATGTATTCAGGACGGGAGGGGGCAGTCGTGCCCTAGTCCTAAATTTGTGCATAGTCAATACCCATTATACCCCCCCCCCCCCCCCTCAACACGCACATACGTACTGCGAATTGGGAACCATACTTCCTTTTGTTGTCTTCTTACCTTCTATATTTCTTTCCATTCTGGAGGGGAGTGTTGTTGTTTTGTTACATGTATTTTGGGTAAATATTTGAGAATCTTCTCTTGAAATAAGCCACTAGTCATCGGGTGTGTACAGTGTATGTGGAAGTGGAATCCCCCCTAAGCATTACGAGCAATAAACCGCTACGTACAAAGTGAATAAGCAGTGGCTACTTTCACGAGAATGCCATGATAATAGTAATAATAATGAGAATATTGATGATAAGGGTAATACTAATTATAATATTGGTAATAGTTATACAAATAACAGTGCGCTCATGTCTGGCACATTGCCACTTCTGGCGCTCTGTTGTTTTTATCCCTGCTTTAGCACGGCTGCCATTTCAGCGTTCGTGGAAATATTCTCGTGTGTTCGGGGGTTTCATGGGTTACAGCCTTTAACGTTTCATGTTATCATGTTTCATTGATACATCTCGTTGAACAGTGAAACAGAGACAGGAGAACTAACTTACGCTGATGTGTTGATCAATATGTTGGGAGATAATATCTACTTATCTGCAAGGTAAAGACGCAAATAATTCCCGTTGGACTTTTTTTCCAGTGATAACTTTACCCGCAGCACAAAGACATACGTTGCCTGAAACATTTTATTTTAATCTGTGTTGTACTTGTGTATTCAGAATAAAATGAAACAATACCTTAAATTCAGGTTAATCGGATTGAATGTTATTTCCGACTGTTGTCATGACGACCGGTGTGACGTGAAGAGGCTATCATGATTGTCATGTTGGGCAGGAAGTATGAAAGAGATGCTACTTCTGTGGATGAAATAATGAGAGAGAGAGAGAGAGAGAGACAGAAAGAGAAAGAGGGAGAGAGAGAGAGAGAGAGAGAGAGGAGAGAGAGAGAGAGGGAGAGAGAGGGAGAGAGAAATGTGGGGGTTAATTTAAGTGACGGTGCAAAATGTACAAATATCGAACATTCTCCCCGGGCTATATTAATATGGATGTCAAGAGATTAGTCGATAAGTAGTAGTATAAGTATTTTTGAAATATGTGCGACGGGAAGTAAATATTTGTCAAGGGAATCAAAATGTATCAAACTAGGGTCAGTCAAGAATAGGTAATGCAATGGATAGCGAGAGGTACAGTGAGATTGTAGAAGGGAAGAAGACAAAAATCGGCTCAAAGAGCCATAAGTTAAACCCCGTAACTTGGACAAATTTTTACAATATTCATCTCAAATTTTCCTATACATAAAATCCCCTTCAGCTATTATTTGTTCAAAATGAATAAATGAATAGATAACCCTCTATAAACCCATTAGATTGACGAAAAAAGCGTAAAGAAGCACCTACACGAGTTGGGTTTTTTTTTTTTTTTTTTTTTTTTTTTGTTCTTCAGAGAAATCAACAGGAAATAAAATTGCACTTGCAGTATATTCAAAATTATATATATATTTGTAAAGAAAGCATTTATGTATGTTATTATTTGTTTAATACTATGTTTAGGATATAAATGTACTAAGAGACACAAAAAGGGATAATTCAGAAACATGGTTCGAATATTCTTTAAAAAGCCAACTAGTTGGTGGATAACTATATTTATGAACATTAAACAAAATAGATACTCATAAATAAAAAAAAATCTGTGTTGCTTGCACACTGAATTAAACATGAAACCGATGCAAACTTCTGGTTCCATGCAATTGCAGGGGAAAATCAAAATAGTCTTAATCAAAGCATACATATTCATGATTATTCAAAGTAAACTTGAATAAAATATACTTTGGAATTTCAAGTTTACGAATAAATCGTTAGATCCCCATGTTTATATTTTTTCAAGTTATCATTATGGCGTGTAACCTCAATTAATCCACACGGGATTGAATAATGGTCTCATCTAATTGGTCATCATAGTCTTAATCGAAACATACATATTCAAAATTATTCACAATAAACTTGAATGAAATATACTTGGGAATTTCAAGTTTACGAATAAATCGTTAGATTCCCATGTTTATATATTGTTGTTAAAGTTATCATTATGGCGTGTAACCTCAGTTCATCCACACGGGACTGAATGTTATATAAAGTAAACTCATTTCATGTGACTCATGAAATATCTGAAAGAACACACTTCAAAGAAAATATTCAAATATAGAATATACATCGATACTAAAGAATAAGAGAACTGAGAGGATTTGGAAGATCCTCTTTCACGTTTTGCATTAACCATAACATTATTCGGTTTCCAATTCTCATTTCCAAAAAGTTATGAATTATGTGGAGGACTAAAATAATTATTCCAAAGCTC